TTTTCACACCTTTTCTCTCCTCATCACATCAAGACCTTCTTCCCCAAGTCAACCTCAGTTAAAGGCATCAGTTCCCTTCTGAGAAAATAGAATCGGACAGAAAAAGAACCTCCAGCTGCCCCCAGCCCTGTATTTACCTGCACTACCTACACCTGTGCTCATATACTGCCTTCTCTTTTGCTACTGTAGATAACCTGTCCATGCTCTAATAAAAACATTCCCTCCCCCGTGCACCACGCCACATACTCTCTTACTACTTACTGAAGGATACTGCTTTAACAATTGTTTCTTCTCCCTTCTGCATCATCAGCTTTTCCCTCTCTCTGATCATTCATGTTCACCATATACACATGCTTATCTTACCCCCCAAAATAAAAAAAAAAACCCCCCTCTTGACTCTACCTACCACCCCATTTCTGATACTCCTTAAAGCAAAACAGAGCTATCTAAACTTACCACCATCTCTAATCTCTCTCCTCCCATTTTCTAATAAGCCTATTCCACCACTCCCCTGAAACAGCTTTTGTCATGGTTGCCAGCAAGTGCCACATTGCTGAATTCAGTAATCTTAATTTGCAGTTGATCTCCCCTTTCCTTTTTGAAATATCCTTACTTTAGCTTCCATTTAGCTCCTTCATTTACTTTCTGTCTCAATGACTGACAGGTCCTTAGTTTCTTCTACTGGTTCTTTCTCATCTCTCCAGCCTTTCAATGTTGGACTTGTCTCAGGTCTTACAACTTCAAATTGCTTTTCTTCTCCATCTGCATTCACCCCAATCTCATGGCTTTAAGTGCCCTCTACATGCTGAATATTACATCTCACATGTCTTTAGCTGGGCCCTCTCCCCTGAACTCCAGTCTAAACCTCCTCCTTTCATATCACCGCCTCAATAATGACAACCCTATTCTTCTAGTTGCTCAAGTCAAAAGGCCTTGTAATCCCAGATTCTTTTTGGAGCCCTGTAAATCCTTTCTGATCCAACAACTATTCTGTTGGCTCTATTTTCAAAATATATTCAGAATCTAACCTTTTATGATCCCCTCCATTGCTATCACCCCCCAGTATTATTGTATTAGCCTTTTAATAGTCTCCCTGCTTCTTCCCTTGCTCTTTACAGTCTTTGCTCAACAAAGTAGTGAGCCTTTTAAAAAGGTTAAACCATGTCACTCCCGTGCTCAAAACCCAATGGCTTTCAGATTCATTCACATTGAAACTGGAGTCTTTACCATGACTTACAAGACTCTAGGTCAGTGCTTCTCCAACCTAGATGTGTATCTGAGTTACCCAGGGATTTAAAAAAAAATGAACTTTCTGATTCCGTAGTTCTGGAATGTGTCTTCATCCAGCATTTCAAATTTGCTCCTAAATTTTGATACTAATGCTGTTAGTCTTGAAGATCACACTTTGAGGAAAAAGACTCTAGAAAAATCTGTACTACTTCCCACCTGACCTCTTTTTTCCTAGCTCACTCTACTCCAACCATATTGGCATTTTTTCATCTTAGAGCCTTGGCACTGATTCTTCTGTCTGCTTGGAATGTCCTTCCTTGAGATCTACACAGATCTCACTCTCTCACTTTTAAGGCCTCTGCTCAAATGTCTCTGATCATCCAACATAAACTGCCAGCCCCTACCTTGGTACACCATATCTTTTTTACCTTGTTTTATTTTTCTTGTTGGCACATACAACTCCATATTTATTTATTACTTGCTGAGAGCCTTGAGAGAAATTTACTGTCTTGTCTGTTTTGTTTACTGTTGTGTTGCCAGGGCCTAGAACAGTGCCTGGCCCATAGTATATCATCAGCACATACTTGTTGAACAAATTAAATGATTTGACCTTATATATTTATAGTAGAACTTGTATACAGGGTTTTAAAAACCAAAAGCAATACAACTGTTAAAAAAGAAAAGACTCTTAAAGAAGATAATCATCCATTTAAAAAAATAATGCATTAAATAACTGAAGAAGTTTGCTCTAGTGTGTAGCACATGCAATTGATGATACATATATCCATGCAATAAGGAGAGAATAGCCTATCTGTGACACTGTTGGTTGGCCACCCATCAGTTGACCTTCACACTCCACCTTCCTCCTTGTTTACCAAATGGTGGTATGTCCAGGTTTAGGGAGGTTCCTAGGCTATAATCTTGATCAATTTCACCAACCTGGGTAATTCCATTTCCCTTACTAGTCATCAGTTAGGGAAATAGCACACGATCCAATTCTGGCTAAATCTGTTGGGAAGCTTTTGGTAAAATTTTTAAAGAGAAAGAGGAAAACTTACAAGATAGTAAATCCCCTTTCTACCTCTGGACATGAGAGCAAGGAGTTGCCATCTGGCAACCATGATGGGAAGGCTAAGAAGAGGTAAGCTGGACTTAGATTATCAAGGTGCTGTGTTAACTGACCCTTCTTATTGTAAAAGACTGGTTATTACTCTTATCTTTACATATGAGGAAACTGAAGACAGAGAGACTAAGTAACTTGTTCAAGGTCAGAGTGGCAGAGCCAGGATTGAGATCCAGGCAGCTTGGCTCCAGAGCCTTTGTGCACCTCTCCAAAACAATGTGACAGATACAAGACCACTTCCAAAAGTACAGTGACATTATGAGGTCTTGCTTAATAATGCAATAAATTGTTCTTGGTCATTTATAGGTTTTAATGGGTAACTGCACTGTACATATATTTTAGTATCGCAGCTGTACATATACATTTTTTTCCATTATTGCACACTCTTGGAAACAAGAATTTTAGACTCAAAAAAAGTGTTATTTGAAACAAATCAGTAAAGTCCCAGACACTCTGAGAAAGCTATCTTCTGTAACTCTTAAATCTACCAGGACTTTGGCATATGGTAAGAGGTAAAGATCTAAAACAATTTTTTCCCCCATATACACTAAGATTGTTTATTGAATAATCAAGATAAGGTGGTCAGTGAGTGCACTCTTCCCATAATGCATCCTATGCAACGCTAGGGAGAAAGCATTAGGGAATATGAAAGACATGTTCCTTGCCCTCATGGAACTTAGTGGGGTAGTGGAACAGAGAGACAATATGATTACATGTGGGGCGGTTGTTCTGATGTGCTAGGCATAGTGGCAGCTACGAATCTTACCTCTAAGCTGTGATGGAAGGTTTCTGATGGACAGTACCTCTTGCACAACATACTGATTCACCCCTCCACTTTTCAACAATTCTTCTGGGGCTAAGGGCAGATGGAACTCACACAGCTGGGAAGACATTCTTCTCCCACTGGCTCACAGGGCTGGAAACCAAACAGAAAGTAGGTCAGCACCTGTATCTAAGGTCTGTCTTTCCTTGTGGTGCTATTATTTCCCCCCTCCAACATATAATGCTTTAGTCTTTCATCAAGCTGATAACATTATCTTAGAGGATGTGAGATCAACCCTGGAGTGAAATCTAATTTTACTCATGACTCTGCCACTTGGTCATGTCATAGGCCTTATCTGTAAAACGAGATTACTAGTTTCTGGTTACTTTATATTGTTGCTCTGAAGACCTAATGAGTTACGGGGTGTTAAAGTGTGTAAAGAACTGGAAAGTGGCGTATCAATGCCTTATGCTTGCATTATTATTTGTTTTTATGGGCTTTTTGTCTCACCTGAGGCCAGAACAGTGGCCTGGCAAGGGCTAGTGGGTTTCCCAGCTCCAGAATGGAAGAGCATTAACATTTATTCCTTGCTTACTGTGTGCCAGGTCCTGTTAGGCTATTTAAATATATCATATCTGATCTAATTCTCCATATCCCACTATCATGGAGTGCATAATACAGCCCGATTTACAGATAAGGAAAATGAGGCTAAGAAAGCTTAAGCGATTTGCCCAAATTCTGCTGCTGATCTATCAGACTTACTGTTTCTTTCGCATCGTACCCCAAGGATATACCCACTAGACATTCCTGCCTCTCGTATGCTTCCTCGCACCGCGTCATATTACCCCGTACCCTATTTTCCCAGTCTTTCATTCTCCGCACTCCCTTAACACATCTTCCTTACCGAGAACCTCACCGGGCCGTTCCTGGGACTCGTGTTGTAGTCCTGAAATGAGGAAAAAACAGGGCGTGCGCAATAATCACCAATCAGCGAGGCAGAATTCAAGCGGGCAGAGAATCCGGCCAATCCTGGGCAGTCGGAGATAAAAACCTACCCGCGCGTAGCGCGGGCAAAGCAACAAATGTGAAGTTTAAACCTCAACGGCCTCAATGGGGCCAATCGCGACTTCCTCTGCAGAAACCGACCAATCACAGAGCATGATCCGGAGAGCCCTGTCGCACCGCCCAGAGAGGGGCGGAGCACAGGCTTTGGATCCGGCCCCCAGCACTCTGGTCTGGCGGCAGCGGCATTCCCTATACGGTCCTTTTAACCCAGTCGGTGGGGTGAAGTCCAAGGCAGTGTAGTCTAGAGATACCGCGTTTCTGCCTGGGCAATGGTAAGATCCTCTGGGCTAGTGACCCACTCAGTCAACCCCAGGACAGGGGGCGAGTCCGGGCCGGGATTTAGAAGGGTTAGGCTCCAGTCCAGGTTCCACCATTTCTTTGCTATGTGACTCCCAGCAGGTCACTTCACTCTGATCCCGATTTCCTCCCCTGTACAATAGAGGTAATTTTAAAAAGAAAAAAAAAAAAAGGCGGCAGTGCAAAACTAGTGTGAAGAATAGAGAAAGGAAGCTCTGGGGTCCAGGGTCTGGACCTTCATCTTCCTCACAGATGAGGGACGACCAAGGAAATGAAAAAGTGGGTTTTCTTGAAATTCAGTTTTGGGGCACCCTGGACAACGCAGTGATTACCTCAGCTGTTCAAGCGCTCTAAGATTTCCTGTTCGCAAAGCGGAAGCGCCTGGGCGGGGCGGTGTGTGAGTGACACCCTGTGGCCTCAGTGCGCCAGAATCCGGAAGGCGGACCTTGTGGCCGGGAAGGAGGAGCCTAGGAGATCCCTGAGCCCGGAGCTACCTGGGTAAGGCCCAAAACGGCTTTGTCCAGCTAGTACCCGTATGAGGCCGCCGGGGGCGGTTCGTGTCGTCTCCTTGAAGGTCACGTGTGGTCAGCACTCTGTGCTAGAGCAGTAGGGGAGAGACGAGAACAATGGCAGGGAGCCTCGGCCTGGGTGCAGGAAGGCGCCTTTGGAGCTGGGTGCCCCAGGCCTGCAGAAGCTTCTCCCTGGGTAAGTGGCGGATGTAGAAAGACGCTCAGGGAACTGCTGCTCAGTAAGCGGCCGGGATTCAGTCTCTTCCTCATCCCTAGGTGTTCCTGGAATGTATTTTGTAAGGGTAACCGTCCCGCCCCGCAAAGTGGTTGATCGTTGGAACGAGAAGAGGGCCATGTTCGGAGTGTATGATAATATCGGGATCCTGGGTAAGACTCGACTCCATTGTACAAATTTTAAGAAGGGCAGTTATGCCGCAACAACTAGTTTTTTTTCACCTGTGGAGGAATGATACTCTGCTGAATAGAAGAGCAACCACTTATGTGGCTATTTATGTTATGTTGGGCACTGTTCTGAGTGCCCTACATGTATTAACTCATCTGCGTTATACCCTTTTCACTTTACAAGTGAGGAAACTGAGGCACAAAGAGATTTAGTAATTTTTCCAAAGCTAGTAAATGGCAGTGCCAGAATTTAAACCCCAAGCAGCCCGGCTCCAGAGTCTGTGCTCTTGATAAGGTATTGTAATGTGTCCCATCTGTAGGTGCTGTTCAGAAAGACCCAACTGTATGTTGAAGGCTTAGCTGGTCAAGACTGTGTTGTCTTGGAACTAATACATTCTCTCACATTACACAGGGAATTTTGAAATGCACCCCAAAGAACTAATCAGGGGACCCAGGTGGCTTCGAGGCTGGAAGGGGAATGAATTGCAGCGTTGTATCCGAAAGAAGAAAATGGTTGGAAATCGGATGTTCTTTGATGACCTGCACAACCTTAACAAACGCATCAGCTATCTCTACAAACACTTTAACCGACATGGACAGTACCGATAGAGAAGAAAGCTGGGGACTGTGGAAGAGGCATATCTATCAGAGGAGAAGGGAAACAGTACTCTTCATTATGAGGAAGGGGATTTGTATGCTCTTCATAATAAAATGGGGCTTCTTCAAAATCTGTTATCCCCACACTTTATTTTCCTCTAGATGCTATGTTTACTCATTCATGTAGACTTATCCCTAAGTCTTATAGTCTTATATTTGGACTTTATCACTTGACCTTTGCAGTCTAGCCATACTTATGGCCTTTAAAAAATAAAAATTATGCAGGCACTTTTTGACATGTGGGTTTCATGTACTGAAAGTGGTAATTTTTAATTGCCCCCAAATGCTAAATATTAAATATATTTTTGAAAACCCTTTCACACTGGAATGAAATGTAACAGAAAAATGGAATTATATTTCTGTACTAGTTTCATCAAAAATGTTGGGTACTTTTGCTGAGCTGATAATTGCAGGAGAAACAAAAATGTGTAATATATCCTTCACACACTCTGCATATGCTTTTCTAATTAGGGATATAAAGTTAATAGTCTCACACATACACTTTAATATGAGGCATTAAGTACCATATGAATGCTTTGCCTGACTGATCATCAGAATCTTAGTAATTTAACAATTTCAAAAGCCTGGTCCCTGTCCCCTAAGATCTGGGATTTGTGGAGCTGAGCTGAGTCTTGTGCATCTGTGTGTAATACAAAACAACAACAACAACAAAAAAACCCCATATATACAATGCAAATTTAAAAATTACAAAAGAGTAATCAGATGAAAATTTTTTTCATCTGACTTTTTTTTGTCCCTTCACAGAGGCAACCACTCTTCCAAGATTCTTCTTACCCTTTTACATATACTGTGCATGTACAAGTTTGTATTAAAAACTGTATATCTCCAAAAAAAAATTGGATTTCATACCCAGTTCTCTACCTTGCTTTTTCACTTAATATAATTTGGATATTATTTTATATCCTCAAATTATGTACAATAATGATTTAACCAGTTCCATTACGATAAACAGTTACGCAAGACTGTTTCTGGGCTTTTGCTCTTCCAAAGTATGACACGCTCTAACTTTAGGTAGCTATAATCTTTAAAAGCCCTTAGATTTTAATTATACATGTTTGGAAAACACTGATGTAGAGAATAAGTGACCTAGATAAGAATGTATTAGACCTAATCAGGAGAGGTTTCATTGAAGAGGTTGGATTTTAGTAAGGAGAAAAAAAATGGCAGAACATTTCAAAGCGGGGCGAAGAAAAATGATCAGGTGCATGGTGAGGGAACATCGAATGTGCTGAAATACAGTGAGATGGGTCTAGATATAATGAACTGTAGCATGACACTAAGGAAAGTATTTGATGTGTTGCTTTTAAAGAAATCTTTTAAGTGAGTTAAAAGTACTATTTGTGTTTCCTGGGAGGGGTTTTGGGTTGATTGGGGTAAGTCCTCTGGTATAGCCTACTGATTAAGGACAAAGTCTTTGGAGTCAGACAGGTCTGGATTTAAACTCAAGCTCTACCCCTCTATTCTTGTGGCCCTAGATAAAGTAGTTAACTTTTATGAGACTTAGATTTGTGGGGGTTTTTTTAGCCTATCAAGTAGGAATAGTTTAATACTTTCCTCATAGGGTTGTGTGAAGAATGAAATTATGCATGTAAAATATTTAGTACAGAGGTGGACAAATGTAAGTGGTGATGACACTCCTCTGAAGTGTGTGTAGTTGTCAAGAATTAGAAAAACCTGAAGAATGGAAATATGTTTTAAAAAAGAATTACAGGTAAAAGTTTGGATTTGAAGGTAGAGGAATTAGGATATTAGGTCCCTTATTTCATCCAAATCCTTTCAAATAAGTACTTGTTTCAGTGATTAAATAACAGTCCACTCCAAAACTTAGTGACTGAAAACAATTTATTAATTCATACTGTCTAGGTTATCTGGGATCAGTAGGGTGATTCTACTCCATTTGGTATGGGCTGGGGTCAGTCATGTTGCATTCAGCTGGGAGCTTGGCCAGAGCTAGAATGTCCAAGATGTCTTCACTGATATGTCTCGTGCCTCAGCCGGGGTGGCTGAGGTTCTTTCTCTACATGATCTTATTCTGTAGTCTAGCCCAAACTACATGGAGGCTTGATCCCAAAGTTAAAGGTGGAAACTGCAAGGCTTGATAGGCATAGGCCAAGAAGTTTCATGGTCCCTTGTACTGCATTCTAATGGTCAAAATAAGTCACAGGCCAGCTCAGATTCAAGGCTCTGAATAAATGCACTCCATTTTTGAATCAGGAGCAACATGAAATTACAGGGATGTGAAGAATTGTCAGCAGCCATATTTGCAGTCTACCTCAGTAACATTTCATGCCTTTTTTGGCACTTTTTCTTTTGGTAGGCTCAACAGAAGTAAAACTAGATTAACAAGCACTTGTTAAATGAAAAGTGGGTTTCAGAGAAATGGATTAATGGGTATGTGTGAACATACACTATGATCCTGGGTCTTACGGAAATATTAAAAGTGTGAGGTTCATTACATGGAAGAGTTTTCAAAGGGATGGCTACAGAGAAGCTAAATGTAGGAATGGAGCGGTTGTTGTGAAATATGAGTGGCTCTGGAATACTTTATGTGCTTTGCTGGGATTGGAGAGGAGAAAAAATATTTGATACCGTTAAGTACAAGGTACTGTGAAGAATACATGTACATGTTTTAGTAGAGTATGTGATGATTAGTGAAAAGAAAATTGATAATTCTGTTCAACAGACATTTATAGAATGCTCCCTGCTGTGAAAATACAAAAGGTCTTGTTTTCAAGGGCAGAACAGTCTTGTTTTAGGTGTGAAAGAGTATGTAATATTTTCATTCGATAAACACTGAACCATTATGTGTGAAGTTACTTAGAGGACATAAATCACTAAGTCAGGATTGATTCCTGACTCTCAGTAGCTTTCATTCTATTTGAGATATGTATGTAAACAATATGAATTTGAATATAGTAATTGCATAGGAAAATTAGAGACTTCTATGAGAGTTCTTTCTTGGCTGGGGGTGGGCAGTCATCAGAAAAGGTATTTGTTGAAAAGATGACATTTGAACTAAGTCTCGGAAAATTTCAGCTGATGGACATGGGAAATCAGTGTTAAGTATGAACAATAACTTCTATGGGCAGGAGCTTTGATGGATAGAAAATAATTCATCAGGTAAGAGAATGGGGGGCAGCCTTGTCATGGGAACATAGACACGTGAACAAAGGTGAGAACTACTGACATAGGTTCATAGAACTAAGACAATGATCATTAACACATAACTAGTCTTTTTCTAATAACAGGAAATGAGTTTGGGGAGGAAAAATAGTGCCAAATAACTAGAAATCCAGCCAGGATGAAGAGATTTTATATATAAATACAGAGACTTGAATGAGGTGGGGTCTCACATTAAGCTCTAGACCAGAGCTGTTTCAATCCTAATGTTAGAAACTTCTCAGAGCCTTTAAACTTTCTTTTAAAAAGATTTTATTTATTTTTACAGGGAGGGGAAGGGAGAGAGAGAGGGAGAGAAAAATCAATATGTGGCTGTCTCTCTGACACACATGCCCTGACTGGGAATCAAACCAGTAACCCCTTAGTGTACAACCCAGCACTCAATCCCCTGAGCTACATCAGCCAGTGTCTCTGGCCTTTAAAAAACAGACAAAAAGACTAGGACCCATCCTAGACCAATGAAATCAACCTGAGCCAAAGTCCCAAGCATTCATATTTTTAAAAGCTCCTAAAAGGTTTTAAATTAGGGGTGAGTATCACAACTTTGGGAAATAGAAGGAGACAAGGGACTACTTTTTAAAGTCCCTTTACTTTGATTTGGCCAAGTCTCGGAACTCATAATATTTTTGCTTCTTGAATTTGCTTGGTTTAATGTGTATCCATGTCTGCCTTCCCCAAGAACTAAGCCTCATCCACATTGAGAGCAAGGCCTGTCTTGCACATATTCGATTACTGCAGTCGTCCACTATCTGGCATATTCGGTATCTTTTTATATGGGCTGTTCTGCCTTGATGCCCTCTGCATTCTCAGTTATTTGCCAGGCAGGCATGTGGGGTGGAACGTCGAGCAAGTCTGGACTTCACAGATGTGCAGTAGACTTACCAACAATCACCTTCTCTAGGACTCCGGAGTCCGCGCCACTGGAAACCGCGACCCATCCGCAGCAGTCGGCGGAAGCTGCACCGTTGCCTGGAGCTGCGGGCGCTGGGGCTTCGGGCAAGCTCGGACTTCAGAAACAGCGATTGGCTGGGAGGCACCAAAAAAGGCCCAACTCAACTGTTGGAGGCCCCTACCAGAGCGCAGGCGCTTATTTCCACAACACCCAGTCGCGTAGTTAGACAGATAAGCCAACTATAGTTGTATTGGTCAGTGAATGAGTCTCACAACCGCTCCTCTCCAGAGTTGGGATGAGAGGAAACCTTTGATTGGCCAGTTTGCTCGGGCTTCGGTCTGGACTGGTGCTTGGACCGGGCGTGGATTGGGCCGCGGGATTGTCAACCTCATCGGGAAGGCGTGGCCTGCACTAATAAAGACTGGACTCGCAGGGCAGCTGCACCAAGTTCCACCGCAGCTAGACCTCCGCGTGGTCAACGAGACGTGCATCTCTGCAGCTCCGTCGACTTCAGCCTCAGCGTCGCCTTGGCCGGGTGTCTTGCTGCATCTTCCAGAGAGGAGACCGATCGTCCCCCTGTCAGAAAAATGTGAGTTGACTCTCGTAGTGGGGGCTCGATATTCCTTGCCAACTCTCACTGCCAGCGCCAGACTCTGCGGGACGGAAAATGGCGCATTGCAGCAGCTGCTGCGACGCGGGGAACCACCACTGCGCGTCCCCCCCAGGCCTGATCACCCCCAGGGAGGGCGGCAGTACCCTCCTGCACCAGCCACAGCCAGCACGCCACGGGCCGGGCAGGGGCGCGGGGGTCTCACATTCATTGCACCCTCTCTTGTGTGAGAGGCACCTCATTCAAATCTTGGTATAGTGGAGCCCGGGAGAGGGCGGGAGGTGCGGCATGGAGTCATTGGGTAGGGGGCTCGAGGCTCTTCCTTGTCTTCTGATGGATCTGTACAGAGGAAGTCTGGAAAGACAGTCATGGGTACATCTGCCAGTTAGTAACTTGGGTTGCCCTGCAGTCTCTGAATTTGTGTATGTCCCTCATCCTAGCCGTGACGTGTTACCCCCACCTCCCACTTTGGCAGTGAGCAAAGCTCCAGAAACTTACTGCTAGTTCTCTGGCGCCAGGTGAGCAGCTCAGAAAAGCTGGAGGGGCAGAGCCAGGTGATTCCAAGCATCCATTCATCCCAAGGCCAAACTGAGGTGGTTTCCTGTCGCTGAATCTTAGCCAAGTATTTGGAAGAGAAATATCGCTGAGGATCTCCGTCTTCCTCCAATACATTCAGTTAGTCTCTGGCCGTCTTCCACATCACCCCCGTCCTAAAATCCTGAAGGAGAACCACGGCGAGAGGAGGGTCTTCCCTGTCAAGACCACAATGTGTTCGATAGAGATTTTTTTCTTTCTTATTATTGCGTGGAGTCTTGGTCTGGTCCTAAATATATTTGTGTTGCTTCTCCTAGTAAAACACACACACACACACACGGAAAAGATTTAATTATAATACATAACGGTTATAACTGTTCTGGATATTTTACTGTTGAATATTCCCAACTTAAAACAAATAGGAAGTGGAATGGTCCCTTCAAATGCTATACCATTTTCCTTTCCCTCTATTTGGTTTCTGCAGTTTTAACTGTGACAGTCTATGCATTTTGGCTGAGTCCTAGGATTCCATTTGTTTTCATTTTGGTAAGGAGGACCCTCCTCAACTGACTAACTTTCAGTAGCACCCATGGGGGTGAACGGAAGGAGATGGAGAAAGTGTGGTGACTATCAGGGCATCGCGAGGGCTCTGACCTTAATCTTGTCATTGGTGCCACCATCCTGGGCTGCTTCCAAGACCCAACAGTGGCTTCTGTGTACTCATTGATTTTTTTTCCATCTTCAGTCAGAGAACTAGATTGCTTAGTTCCGTAGTAGCACAAGAGTCTTGTGGCTTCCATGGCTTTGTATCTTTCCTTTGCCGCCTTTGTGCCTTAAAAATGAGAAAGTGGTTTCTTAAATGGGGATAAGGGGGGTATAATATGCTAGTATAGTCCTGCTGAGGCTTTTTGGACTGAAAGAAATTCACTAAGGGAGAAGGAACTTCTGGGTATTAGTTCTATTGTGAGTCGTCAAGACATTTCCTTGGTGGTGACTTTGTGATGGTTTAATCCCTAGATCATTTATTCTTAGACTACTCCTATGAGGTATGTATCTGTGAGATTAAGCTTCTGTTTGAGGAGTTCTTATTGTAATTTCTATTCTCCATCAAATTTGAGAGATCTCCCTCCTGCTGGTGGATTTCCCCTTGGGGGAGAAAATCTCATGCCTTAGGTTAGACTTCTGGGAATACTTTAGGAGGTGAATTTAGCCTCCAGGTACTGGGACATAAGAAGGAGTTTATCTTGAAACCTCATACTAGGTTAATCCCTTCTAAAGCTAAGGGAAAGAGAACAATCATTGTTTGTAGTAGTGTAAGCCAAGATTTCTCTTTGGGACATAAGGAACTACAGTAGGCTCCTGAGATATGTTGCCAAATCTAGAAAAGGAAGGGACAGAATGTTTACAATGCGTGTACATTGAGGCCCATTTCCCTTATTTTTGCCTCCTGTCTATGCACTAGGAGCAGTTTTATAATTAACATAATTGCTCTTGGCCTCAGTTCTATCTAAGCAAAACCCCCATCTTCTCTGCCAAAAACAAAGCGGACTGTCCTGACTCACTCCGCCTACAGAGGCCTTGCCTTTGGTGACTCTCCAAGTTGTCCTTGCAGCAGCCCCAGGTACTAACTATTGTGAGAAACAGAACCAGTAAGTGGATCCCGTAAGCAGAGTCTGTCAGTTTGCTCTTTCTTTTTAGATTTAGGCTTTGCAAAAAGAGCTGTTCTGTCCCTAGGCTCGTCCTGAGGGTTTAGTCTTCTGTACAAACTTCTTCTAACCTGGATTGGGGGTTTCCGGTTTGACTTCTTGTAAAAGGGTTCTGACAGTCAGGGACATGCCATTTAGGCCAAAGCTGGCACACTAGTCCCTGTAACCATTGTGTCAGAGGATATGTTTGAGTTTGGGCAGAGGGTGGCCCAAATAAGATCCTTTGATGCCACCCCAGATGTCCCTGAGCCCCATCTAAATCTTGTCACAGAATCTTTCATCTTTTGCTTCGTGACACTGTGCTGCTTCTCCCTACTTGGTATTGCTGAGGACCTGGGACCCCTTCTAATTGCATAGAGTAACCTAATTGCCGTGAATTTGATGGTGTGGGGAGAATGCACGTGATTCCTTTGTTGTTTTGGGTACTTTGTGTACTCCGTCCTCTTCTCTCCATAGGTCTGCTCCAGCTCAGCCGCCCACTGAAGGGGCAGAAGGGGCTACCCCAGGTGGGGGTGCCCCTGGCCCTACTCCTAATACAACCAGTAACAGAAGACTACAGCAAACCCAGGCACAAGTAGATGAGGTAGGTGGAGAGTTTTTTCTCTGAGAGTTTCTAAGACACAGACGTTTAGAAACTTTTTTCTAGAGAGAGAGCTCAAGGCTTTGGGAAGCAAGGCATCCCTTAGAGTTTCATGGGGCAAACCCATGACCCCATTGGTCATTGGTTGTTGTTCTTTCCCCTGTCTCTAGTGGGGAGCTTAGCAGTTTTGTTTCTGTGCCCCGCCCCCCAGGTGGTGGACCTCATGCGTGAGAATATGGACAAGGTCCTGAAGAGGGACGAGATACTGTCACAGCTGGATGACCGAGCTGATGCCTTGCAGATGGGAGCATCACAGTTTGAGAGCAGTGCTGCCAAGCTAAAGAGGAAGTATTGGTGGAAAAACTGCAAGGTGAATTTTCTGTCCTTTCCCCCTTCTTTTTCCTGGGCTGCAACTCATAGAAGGCAAGAAAACCCTTGGGTTCTACATTCCTTCTCTTTAGTGGTACAGGATCTTTGCCCTGCAGAACTCTTCTTGGGAGGAAGTCTTGAAAGCCTCCTTGAGCTGCATTACCCCGAACTGGCCACCAGGGTAGGCCAGAGTTTTCAGACTCCTTACCCGGGAGCCAGGAGGCGTTTGAAAATGGTTAGTCAGGCTGCTTCCCCGACCCTGCTCTGGGTCCCCAAAGGACCTCTGGAAAAATTCTCACCTGGCCCTTCCTCAGACACACCCAACATCGACACAATGACTTGGGTAGATACGTATTTAAGTACCTGCAGCTTTTAGGAATGAGCTGAACACGCCACAATGAAAAATGAACCAATTGACTAGAGATCCATAGTCTGCACCTCCATCGCAGTTCCTTTCAAAGCAACAGGAACTACGGAAGAAGGAGCAAGCTGCACAGGCGCTGATGGTTCTGAGTAGCTGCAGCTGAGGTGCAGGGGTTACTGTCTGACGGGGAGCGTGAGGGTCGGGCCCTCCCCAAGGCACCTGCATATCTCCTGGGTGATGTGTAGTTTCTTGCACTGTCTCAAGGACAGAGGACACTCTCCTCCCGTATCTCTAGTCCTAGCTCCTTCCTTCCCAAGCCCAAGGACCCGTTTTTTTGTCAATGTTTCCTCAGATGATGATCATGCTGGGAGCTATCTGTGCCATCATCGTGGTAGTTATTGTAAGTAAGTATCGCTGAGGTTACTGGTGGGGTGAAGAGGTGGGAAGGTCCTGGAATCTTCTCCCAGCCCTGCCTGCCTGCCTGGGGAGTGGGGCTGCTCTGACAGAGGTATGGACATCACTGTTGTGGGGTCATCACCTGGTTTGGGAGGGAGGAATGTCAAAGGCAAATGACTTTCTTGAAGGACAAGGCTTCCCTCTGCAAGATACTGTGGGAAGACGGTCCCTCCTGTTCTGAGGAAGCGGGGCTATGCTGTTTGTCACTGTCTTGAGTCAGAGGGAGACATGGGGATGGGACACCTACAACTGAAAGACCTGGATGTCTAGTAACTTGATGTAATTTGTCCTCTTGTTTTCTCCTGTCTCTCTCTTTTCCATCTGGAACTTCCTGATTCCTGTGTCCAGTCTACTTTTTTACTTGAGAATGTGCCACCCCTTCCCTCTTCTCCATTGCCATCCAAACTCATGCTCCTCTCCTTGTTTGCTCTCTCAACGAACTCCCCCATCTACCTTCCTCCATCCCAGGCCAGGCTTCTCCATCGGCCATTCCTCCTTTTCTGTTGCTTCATTTGCACTCTGTCCCTCAACACTAGAAATGCTGCTCGTGGCGCAGTCTTGAAGTAACTACCTTAAGAGCAACAGCTGGCACCCCCTCCCTCCCTGCTTCTTCTATACTCGCAAATTCCTCCAAAGCCAAAAAGAGTTGGAGGCTAAGGGAAGGGGACGGGGCGTAGCTGTAGTGACATGCCCAAGAAAGTGCCAAGCTTGGGGGAGGAGAAGGGTATCTGTGCCCATGGTATCTCCAGGAAAAGCCAGGCTGCTGGCAGGAGGAAGCCACGAACACCTGCAAAAATGGTGGCTCACTCAGGCCTGCCCTGGACACCTAGAGCTCTTCTCCCATGCCAGGCCCGAAGAGGACCCCCGGTGGGTCCGAAGTCCAACTTGGTCCTGGTGCAATACCCTCTTAGGTAGTAAAACTTGTTTTTTGGAGTTATTTCTAATCTGTTAGTCCAAGATTTTCTACGTCTTCAGGGATCTTACAGCCTTTACGTTGTTCTCCAGAGACCTGGAGAACACCTATTAATTGTGAAAATACCAGAACTCCCATTGCCATCCTCGAAGCAGTCTCGCAAGCTCACAACTGGAAGAGTGTGTCTCTTCTCCACTTTTTCTGCAGCATTCTGCACTGTTCACGAGAGCACCAAATAATTTCATATAGCCAAAGCTTGGGACTCTCAGTTAATTTGGATTGTTGGCATGGATAAAGAGGAAATGTCTATTAGAAATCGCAAGGACAGGACCTACTTTGAAAATAACAAGCTCAGAGGAAGCCACTTCTTGCCCTCTCGTTAAGGAAGGTCCTTTTCGTCCCTTCCTATTGACTGAGGAGTGTGAGGGTCCTTGGACTTCTAGGGACTTCCTTCCTCACACCACCTCCATGTACTTGCCAAAGACAGGGATGAGGCAAGACGTCCTTCCTGAGGCCTGGCCGATTCTGAGTATTTAGAGAAGTCCAGTATACCCACCAACTCAGTCTTGGGGTGGGAGGTGGGACATTCTGTAGGCAGTCTGCTATCATGGGCCCTCTCATCTAGAGCCATCTCTCCGTTCTTCCTGCAGTATACGCACCTTCTAAACCACGTGAACCCATCTGAATTCCACTTTGCCTCCTTCCCTTTTCTCCTCTTTGCATGGTTTGTGGGTACAGACAGTGGAATCTGAGGATGGGAGCAACTCAAGCCTCTCTTGGGGGCCACCGCTGGGCTTTGAGATAGTGTGTTGAGTGGGATAGGCTCAGGTGTGAGGGCGAGCGAGCAGGCTGGGAACAGAAAGGGGAACACCCATGCTCCTGTATTTCTTCTGTCCCTTGGTCTACAAGCAGGAAGAGCCAGGCTGGGCTGGGTCTGGATGCTCACTTTCCATGTAGCAGCATTTCATTGCGCAAAACCATCTTTCCTCTCCCTTTGCCCGTTGCCCATGTTCCCTTCGTCCTGCCCGAGGGTGGGACTGAAGAGCTGGAAGAAAGCAGTCATTGTGCCCTCCCAGCGGTTCCCCTGGAAGGTCTCCACTCTCCTCTGGGCTCCTCCTTGCCTAATGCAGGGGGTCACCGCTGGAGAAGAACCACCACTGTCCTCGATGTGTCCCAAGCCTGGAGCAAATTCACCCTCTTAGGCCACCCATGCGTGTCACAGGAATTATTTCCTGGGTTGACCTGAGGCTCACCAGATAGAGTTGGCTTTGTTTGTTTGGAGATGCTAGCCCTTCTACTTTCTTTCTCATCCCACCCTGTATCCCCTTTTGTGTCTTTGCTGTCCCCCTTCCTTCCTACCACCCATGTGCATGAGCAAATACGCAACTAAACCCTGGGACTTTGCAGTCAAATGAAGCCGAGCTTCCCACATCCCCTTCAGTTTGCCTTGAGATGATGTGGGATTTCCACCGTGTGTCTGTCATCACCTCTTTGTCTTTTTTCCTAACCCCAGTCTCATACTTGTATAGAATAATAACAGTTGTACTTCACCAAAGGCATGTGGCATATTTACCAATTTCATGTATTCTGAACAAAGGCAAAAAATACAAATTTCTACCACTACACTGACTTGGTTGTTGTTTCGGTTGGAGTAACTGAGGAGAGGGGGAGGAGAGGAGTGTTGTTTTCTTTCTAGAAGTCTGCTGTTGCTTTAAGGCTGGAGGGGGACGGGGCTTATGTGTGTTGGGTGGGCTTTTTGAGATTAAAGATCTGTGTTGGCAAAGGAAGTGGTCTCTGCTCTCAACATTCATGTCTGAAGCAGCCCAACTCTTCCAGGTGCTGTGAGAGGAAGTGATAACAGGAAGTTGAGTGGGGTCTCACACTGACAAACAACTGCAGGTTTTCTCAGCGATCTCCTGCCTGCCTCCTTTCCTTGTGCAGAGTTCCACTGGGTTGATTAGGCAGATTTTAGAAATGAATAAAAAGAGAAATCTCTTCCTTGCAGCTGAGGGAGTGAGGAGTTCATAGGTATCCCGAAACACACAGCAACTGTCTAAAGGAGCAGAACCTTCATTATAGCTCCAGGTTTCACAGAGCAGCTGAGACGGATCCCTAGGGCTGCCTTGGAGGGCCCTTGTTTCACACCTTGAACACCTAGGCTTGGGGACATAGCTCTGTTGGGTCCAGCATGAGGAAAGACAAGAAAGCGGAAGAGCTTTTTCTCCAAGGACACAAGGCGCTTTTATTTGGATGGAGTTCAGTGGGGGTCAGAGCCCAACCCCCACCCCTTTGCCCCACTGCCCCTCATTTGCTGCTTTCTAAATTTCTTCCCATTTTCTTTTCCTACTACTGTACCTCAAACTGGCTCCCGTTTTAACCTCCACCCAGACTTCTTGCTGCCTTCCTGCTGCCCTCTCACCTTTTCGTGTTTACCCTTTTTAGCCAAGGGACACGATGAAGGAAGGCATAGTCCTGCACATGTTCAGAGCCAGACCCAGTGGCCCCATGGTCTGTGCTCGCTTCATGCTTTTCTTTGGGGTCTTTTTGAGTTCTCGGCCTTGGCTTAGAGTCCCTCTGGGAGAACGTGACTACTGTTTCTTTTTACTCTGAGGCGGTAGAATGGTTACCCAGAGGGCCTCGGAGTCTTGGCAGACCTTGGGTGAGGTAGCTAGGAGAGAACAAGAGGGAGTGAGGTTGGTTTCAGCTGGGGTAACCTCAAAAGCGGGGGGGCCCTGGTTGGGGACTGGCTGGAACTTGGATGCTTGGGCTTCATTCCTGGTCTGGGTGGGGCGGTGGTTAGTGGAGGCTGGTCTATCAGTGAGGTGGGCCTGGGGCAGAGCTGAGGGCAGCCGGGGTCTTACCTTTCCATCTCTGAAGCCCCAGGTACAGCAGTGCAAGAAGGAAGAGGCTGCTGGCAAAAACGATCCCAAAGGCCGTCATTCTCTGCTCTGTAGGTGAGACGGGTGTAGGCAGGAATAAGCCCCAAGCCGGTGCCAGCAGGAGGGACAGCGTGCGTGCGTGTGAGTTCCTGGATGACGAACTCATACCAGGTGTTCCGCACTCACCCAGGGACTGGGCGCACAGTAGCATTCTAGTTTCTTAAGGTTTTTGGGTGCTTGTGTGACCATAAAATTAGAATTTTATAAATAGCTGGGGAGTAATGTGAGCTGAAAGAAAATCCCAGTTTAGGGGAAGCCTACTGCTCGGTGAGCCACTAAATAATAATACCCTGTGCTCCTGAATGTTTGCATTCTAGGTACTAATTCTTCCCTGTTTAAAAACTTTTAGTAACATTCTGTAGCGCCAGGATGAAATTCCAGCTTGAGGCCCATTGGGATCAGCTCAGTAATAGCAGTGGAGGGTTTGATGCTCTAGGGTAATAGGCTGCCTATTTTTCCCATTTTACCTTTTACCATTAGGTAGGTGACTTTGGGCAAATTACTTAATGCCTGTCAGTGCCAGTTCACTCATCAATACAACAGGATTCATGATAATACATGAGACCGTACTATAGTGCTCGATTCATGTAAATGCTCAGTAAATATAATAACTTCTCAAGCTTTAGGCCACTTTCCCCTTTTCCCACACACCCTTGGCTCTAACTGTGCAGTCCCCCAAATCCTCTTTAGGCCGCTTTATATTTGGCCTTCACACATCCTGTTCTTCCTGTCTTGGTGTTTCCTTCCCCATGCCGCCGCCCCCCCCCCCCCCCCCGGTCATCTTGCCTGCCTGAATAATCAGTCCCTCCAACTGGACTAAACTCAAGGGCAGGATCAGGAATTGTTCAACCTTGATCTCCAGCACATTCATTGCCTGGTGCCCTCACACCTGGGGTGTATCGAAGTCTCAGGATGTGTGGGAGCAGCTCTGGAGGCTGCTCCCTTGGGAAGGAAGTAGGTGGGGTTGTGAACAAAGCCTGGTGGGAAGCAGCAGAAAGCCAAAGACACGCTGGGGATGGGAGAGCCATGAGCCCAGGATAGAGGTGGGGAGAGGAGGGTACCCCAGTACCTGGTGGGGCAACCCAGGCCCTGGCCTCGATGGGCTTGTCCAGGGAGATGTGGGTGACCTGACAGGTGTAAGTGGCACCTGCAGAGCCAGGTTCTGCCTTCAGGGAGGAGGAGATGCTGTAGGTGCCCCCTGGGCCTTGCCGGAGGCTGGAGAAGGAGGCATCAGACACTGGGACTGGGGCTCCACCCAGCTCCTCCCGGGTCCACTTCACACTGATGTCCAGAGGATAGTAGCCCACTATGTTGCAGATGAGGGTGGGTGTCAGAGCTTCATGTGCCAAACTTAGTTGTACTTTGGGGGAAGCTGGAAGACAGAATGAGTAAGATTCCAGAGGGATCAGTGGGACAGCAGAGGAGCCTGAAGCCTTTTCATCCTGCCGAGAAAGAGGCAGGTTGTGGAGGCTTGTCTGGTCCTCGGTGGAGTGCCAAGGGGTGGATGAGGGGACCACCCTGGAGGCAGGCCGTGAAGGGGTGCATCTCTACAGGTAGTTGAAAAACAATGAGATTGGCTGGCTGCTTATCACGAGAAGCCAGAGGTTTTAACGGGTATCAGTGACGAAATCCTCCCCTGGATCAGGACCACCCCCACTGCCCCTCCTTGGTTTGCTGCTGCGCCTTTAGCAGGTGTGATCGGAGGCAGCCAGTCAGGGCAGGGCAGCCAGATCCTGGGCCGGGAAGGTTCTCTCTGGACTTCTCCTGAAGTGTGACAGGAGACAGCCTGATGCTGTCTGCGCTTACAGGATGGAGATGGCATGTAGGTTGTGGGGGTGTAGCCTGCCTCTCAAGAAATGCCCTTATATTTGGATTCCACTCTGGAAAACAGCCCCAGTAAGCATGTCCCTCTCCCTCTCCCCCAGATAAGCAAGTTCTGGCCTCACCTTGGACATGGAGGTGGATGATTTGTTGAGCTTGGTGCAGAGAGGTGGTGATCTGGCAAATGTAGGCCCCTTCGTCCTCCAGAGTGAGGCTGGGTAGGTTGAGGGAGGCAGCCCCAGCCGTGAGGAGCTGCTCAGGCTGCAGGGTGGCGCCCTCTCGCTTGGCCACCCCCTGCCCCTTGGCCCAGCTGTACACTAGCTGGCCAGCGCCCCTGTGCTGCAGCCGCCACTCCACTCTGGTGAGGTCCGAGCTGGGTGCTATGGAGAAGCCACAGTGCAGGGAGGCTGAGGACCCCAGCAGGAAACTCAGGGATGGGGTTTGAGTTGTCACTTGCAGTTCCACTGTGGTGAGAGAAAGAGGGATGATGGTGGACAGCTTCCTCCTGAGGCCACCTGATCTCTGAGCTGTGGGCCTACATCCACCCCTGCCGCCTTTCCTGGACGGTGAGGCCAGTGGAGCTCATTTCCCATCAGACGGAACCGCAGCGCCCAGGGCTCTGGAAAGGCCGTGTGGCACATGTGGTAATGTTATCTATTTTGGAGATACCGCTGGATAACCTGATGAAAGCTGTGGATCTCTCACCACAAAAATACACATGCAAAATTATGGGTTACTGTTGCTTTTGGGTAAGAGCCACTGGAGGAGCAGAAAAAATTTTGGAACCCTGGTTCTTTCATGTAATAGCTCTGTGACCTTGGACAAGTCACTTAGCGTTGCCAGGCTCCCCTGCCAAAGGCGAGGCTGCTGTAAAGACTACGTAGAAGTAAGAGTGTAAAAAACACACAGTCACAGTACTTGCGCCAGCCATGCTGGACCTAAGTCTATTGAGAAGAACAATCAGACAAATCCAAATGGGATTTGCTGCAAGACAGCGCGGCCAGGGCTCTTTACGTAGGTCAGGGCTATGGAAGACTGTTCTGCGGTTAAGGAGCTAAAGACGCAAGACTGTGAAATGCCATGCATGATCCCTGTTTGAATCCTGCACTTAAAAAAAAACAACCCAAAACCAAAACAAGGCTATAAAGAACATTGTTGGGACAATTGGAGAAGTTTGAATTTGGACTTTATACTTTACAATACTGTATCAATTTTAAGATATTGATACTTAAGTATGATGCTCAGTAGTGCAACAAGCAGTTTGTGGGGGAGATGGGAGGAGGCTGCCATGGCAAATACGTTCTTCAATTCTCCACACACTGCACCCCCTTATTGTCTGCAGCACGGTAGACCACTCCCCATCTTGGTTTGCCGAGGTGATGGTTCTGTGATTATGGAGAACATTTTTGCCTTTGGTTATAAACCAAGTGCTATAAACCACATGACTGTACATGACAGCATTTTGGGGTGAAGTGTCTGGATTTTTGCAACTTTCAGTGAGTTCAGGGGATATCTATTTCTCTAGAGAGAATGTGGCAAACTTAACAATTGGTGGACCTAGGTAAATGCCTTATGAGTGTTAATTATATTATTCGTTCACCTTTTGCAGGTTTAACATCCAAATTAAAAAGGGAATATTGAGCTATACCAGGACTGTGGTTTACACTGGACAGACATGAGGCCCCTTCTTTTCTGATGTAGCAGGATAAATTTAGGTTGGACGACAGAAAGGTCAAGTGTTCTGGGGCTTTCTAAAGATAAGGGGGTAGCTCCCTAATCTTTGGACTTGCCGAGAAAGAGACAGGTTGTGGAGGTAAAATACTGGATTTTACCTCCAGTATTTTATTTACAGAGGAGAAACCCATAGACTGTCGGCAACCGAGGGGTGTTTGGAGAGACCCCTCCAAACACCCCTCGGTCTTTTTGGAGGTAAAATATTGGATTCGGCGAACTCTGGAGAAACCCGCCGTCTTGTTCTCAACTGCCCGTGCCCTGTGGATGTGCTGTGTTGAAGACGGCCAGACCTGGGCTTTACTAATCGGGGAAAATTCTGTATCCCTCTGCTTCGCTCCAGTCAAACACCAGACCAGACTGGCTTTTCATTGGGAAAAACGGGTGTTTGGCCCGCTAAGACTGCTGTGAACAGCATACATGAATAGAGCCTCACATGTCTTATTCCTCAGGCAACGCAGTGAGGAGAACATTAATCCCTATTTCAGGTCCTTCAGAAGAAAGGACAGAGGCCAAGGGACACCCTGAGATGGCTGATTTGGATGGAGGTGGGCATGTTCCCTTCCTCCTATCCTTCCATCTCCGAATATTTAAAAAAAACAAAATTTTCTTTCTGCTGCTTTTCATTTTCTCACCTGCAGTCAGCACAGTCCCCAGGGGGCTCTGGGGTAGGTTCAGTGTGGGGTGCAAGGCAGCCCCATTCTCAGCATCCCCAAGAGTCCTCATCACTATGGAGACACTGGGTCCCCCTCCAGACACCTGCACGTTGGTGATGAACCAAGCTGCTGTCTCAACAGCGGCCTCTTGTCTGGCTGGGAGAAGATAGTGGGAGATCTCACAGGTCACCTCCTTCTCGCTGCAGTCCGCGTGGAGCAAGGCCTCTGCATCGGGAATCTGTACCAGGTTCACTGGGCAAGAAGGGTGGTACAGAGGCTGAATTAGATTCAGCACATGGGAAGCAGATGTGAACGGGTGTACTGAGAATGGGGCTGTTCCAATGGAGGGAGCCCAGAAGGACTGGGACATGGCACGGAAGCTCTTACCGGAGGCCTCAAAGGTAACAGGGGTGTTGTCTTTGGCCACTGTGCTCAGTTGGAAATTGCCGAAGCCTTCCAGGGAGCCATCATCCAGCATTGGCACCTCTCTCAGCACCAGCAAGGCCTTCACCATGTTCTTACTGCTGGCAAACCCTCCATGGTGCTTGCCTTCCTCTACCAAGAAGCAGTCCAAGACCACATCCACTGCCCGCCATTGCCTTTCTGCTGCAGGGAAAAGACTGGGCTGAAGCCGCACCTTCCTGCCCCAAAAGTTTCTTCTGTACTCATTCCCTGCCCCCACCCATGGAATCATCAAGGGTAAAAATTATCCTCCAGGGTTCTAGCTACCTCTTGTCATCCCCAAAACCGGCTTTCTGGGGAGCACCTGCCATTCCAGGTACACACTTCTCAGTGTGAATTATTTCAAGTCCTGGACTTCCCTTGCTCAGGCAGGTTTGTTTTCACTTTTATCTCCAACCATCGAATGAGAAACTATCTGTAAGCAAAGGAATTCTCAGTCAAAAGCATATAAATGAGCTAAATTGCCACTGGGAGAGAAGACAGGCCGTAGGTTCGCGCTGTCTGGGCGTGTGGGCAGCCATCTTCTCAGTTCCTAAGCCGGCTGACAGGTGCTCTGCTTTCTGCCATAACATGTGGCTTCCCCTCTCCCACCTCCGGGGTCACCTTCCTAGTGATTTCCTAGCTGGGGGGTCCCTTCCTCTTCTGAAGGTAACCCCTCTCCTGCAGGTCAGTGACCCCCACCACACACTATGAAGGCCCTTCTTCACTTGGCCTTTTCCCCATGGTTCTCAGTCTCTCTCTCAGTCTCAGTACAACTGGTTCCCTGAGCCTTTGAGCTTGGAAGCGGTTGGCCCCTTTCTCCTGCTGGTGCTTTCCCAGTCCGACACTTCCCTCCAGCTTGCTCCCCACTCACCGACGTCTGCCGCTCCTCCGGACAGAGCCACGCAGAGCAGCAGGCACCACCCCTCGGTGCCCATGGGGGCTGCCCTCAGGCCCTCCTCCTCCTGCTGCTGCTCTGCTCCACAGCTGCTCCCAGCAGAAGAGGGGTCTCTCCAAACACCTCTCGGTCGCCGACAGCCTATGGGTTTCTCCTCTGTCCTCTGCCTACTTTCACTTTCACTTTGAGGAAGCGACACTGCTGCTGCCTTTACCTCTGGGTGAAGCCATTTCTTGCTGGCACCAGAGTTCTGTTCACTCTTCTCCTTTCCACCCCACCCCCCACCCCCAGAAATCCCCTGGTGATTTCAAGACCTGACTTCACTGCATATACCCTTTTTGCTCCCCAGCAGCCCCAAAAAAGTAGAGCTGCAAGGAAAAGGAGGTGGGGGGAGGAAAGCAGAGGCCGAAGCTAGAAGTAGGAACCCCCATAGTCTGGGAACCTTTTCTCATATTCTGTTGGTACCACACCCCCTCTCCCTCTGCCCGCCCGCTTTGGGCAGGGCCCAACACAAGTCTGCAGGGGAGAAAGCTCCTCCCTCTGATCCCTGGTCCAGGGGAGGCTGGGAGTGGCCCATGTCCTGAGCTTGGAATTTCAGAGAGGCAGTGTGCAGGTCTGTTGCTTTATTTTGTAAAGACTCTACAGCATGTGGGGCTTTCATGGGCTTGAGTGTGTTTTACAACCGAAACCTCAAGCCCCGTCCAGCACAGAGGTGAAGTGCACTGGACCTGGACATGTCCTGCTTCCCACCCTCTGCCTCCCATGGGTCCTTGTCCCTGCAAGTCTCAAAGGTACTTTCTCAGGCCTGCACACAGGAAGGGGTCCTGAGGAGCGCGCGCTACTGAAATCGAGGGGGCCAGGTCTCATTGCCTCTGGGTGGGCGGTGGGGCGGTGAGGTGTGCCGGGGGCCAAGCCCCTGTTGCAGTGGTGACCCCCTCTGGGGACTGCAGGCTCAGAGGTAGGAAGCAGGCTCCGGTTTCCGGTAATCCTCCTGGATGGGGATGGCATCGCCTTCCTCCTCCCTGGGACAGCTGTAAGGACAAGGCTCAGCAGCTGCCACTGGATTTTCTCCTTTGTCTGCAGAAACAGAAGCAGGTGAATCTTGGCCAGTGGCCAGGATGGGGTGAAGGGAGAAGAGAGAGGCAAAGGAGGTCAGCTTGGTGTGTGTGTGGGGGCGGGGGCGGAGGGGGTGGAGCTGTCAGGAGGGCCTCAGCCAAGAGGAGAGGCAGGCTAGGCAGGAGCCAGGGTGGTAAAGATGGAGCTGGGGAGGCTTCCGTGGGGTCCCAGGCATGGGTGGCTGGGCGGGGAAGGTGGGGTGGGGTCAGGGACAGGACTGGAGACCTGTATTTTGTCTCTTACTTAGTCCATATTTTCTTTGATGATGGAGGAACAGGGCTCCGACCATGGTGAAAGCAAGAAGCATTCCAAACAGGATCACAAAGATGCGGATGCAATCTGAGCTGCACTGGGACCTCTGGGCTGTGATCAGCAGGGGCCGCACAAGAGTTTTTGGGGAGGGCCTACTCCTTGACTCCCCTCAGCCCAGCCCTCCCATCATCCCTGCCCCTCTCCTTCCTCCCTTTTTCTCCCCTCTGCCCCACCCTTGTGTCAAGTCCTTTCCTCATCCCTAGACTCTGCTCTTCCTCCTCTTATCCGCACTCCTAGTTGCTTTCGGGCTAGCTTTTCCCTTGGACTGTCCTGCATGCATTCTCTCCTGGGGTGGGGAATGTGGAGAAAACTCACGTGGCCAATGAGTCGAGAGAGCTGGGGCAGGTGGGCTGAAGTCGGCCAGAGTCTGCATGTGCCTGGCTGTCCTGGCCTCCAGCATTTCTGGAAAAACGGAGACTGGGTGAGCAGCATGAGGGAACTCTGCAGGGAAAGCCTAGGCTGAAGGCCTGAGGACTGAGAAGCGCTGGATGTGATGGAGAGGCAGAGATGGGCCCGCTAGGCACCTCACGGGGGTAGACACGGAAATGGGGGTGCTACTTGAGGGTGACCCTTACCCCAAGTGACCGGACACAGAGTCTCCTGGAACTTACTTTTGGCGTACGGTAAGTGGGTGGGTTGTGGGTGTTGGTCTGGGGCCTGCGATAGGTGAGGGGTCGGAGAGGGGCTTGGAGCAGGGTCGCACTCGGTGCACTCCTTGTCCCTGCACTCTTGGCCCTTGGGGCAGGCACACACAGTGTTGGTGGTGAGGGTGCAGTTTCGAATGACATGACCTGGGGATAGAGAAGGCCAGAGGAACACAAGGCACTCACCTCAGGCCTCAGAGACCCTGCAAGGTCCACTTGATCCTCTCTCCCAGCCCCCGCCTCCCCCCACCCCGCCCGCTGCAAAGGCAGGCTCCTCCCTCACCATCACCCGGGACCTTTGCCATTAGTATTACTGTTATTAAGGAAGAAACTTGGACCTTCTGGAAAATTCGTGGTTCAGAAATAGACACTGAAAAGTAGAAACCGCTTATGTGATTTTTCTCTTACTCACTGAGACTTTTACAACTGGATTGTAACATAGAGATGTAGACACATCACAAGTGTAAAGTTTGAGAACTGGACTCGGGTGTAACCAGCACCAGGTCAAACAGTACGTAACGAGTAGTGTTATCCCTTTCCAAAAGTAGCCACTAGCCTGACTTCCTAACCACACAAGCCTTTTTTGGTTTTTGGTTTTTGGGGTTTTTTTTTTTTTTTGTAATAGATACATGGAATCATGCATGTGTATTCCTTTGCAACTGGCTGCTTTTACTCAACTCTTTTGAGACTAATCCATATTATTGAGTGTAATTGCAGATCATTCATTCTCATTACTGTGTAGTGTAAATATTGTGTGAATGTACCACATTTATTCCTCTGTTCTACTGTTTTTTAAAAAATATTTATTTTAAAGAGAGAAGAAGCGGGGGAGAGAGGGAGAGAAACATCAATGTGAGAGAGAAATATCCATTGGTTGTCTCTCCTGTACGTCTCTACTGGGGATGAACCCTCAACCCAGGCATGTGTCCTGACCAGGAATTGAACTATTGACCTTTTGTTTGCAGGATGACACCCAATCAACTGAGCTACACCGGTCAGGGCTCTTCTGTTCTATTGTTAATGTGCATTTGGGTAGTTTCCAGTTTTTAGCAATTAGAAATAGTGTTTCTATGGTTCCTGATAGGTTTTTTTCAACTTTACTAGGGAGTAGTTTGATTGCTGACATCCATTGCCTTTAAATGTGCATTTTATTCAAGTGTAGAGGTCAGGTGCCAGGCAGCTGCCGATCAGCTATCCTGTGGGTGGAGGGTCTTGGGGGTGCTGACTGGGTTGGCCTTACAGATGGCTGAGGGTGAGAAGAGGTGGGTGATTTCTGGGGGAGACAACGACACTTGGATGTGGGCCAGGCTGAGTGGGAGCCTGGTGGGGCCTTCGAGCAGCACTCTCGTGGGGACCCAGGGAAAGGAGCCCGACAGGGGGAAGAGGGGTACTGAACGGGAGGTGGGGGTTGCCAAAGACTGCCCCCAACTCTTAACAGTCTGCCTTAGTGTTTGCCTTTTTTCAGGAAAGAGAGGGGGGCACAAATTCCTTCTTCTCATCCTTCTGCCCCTCTGGCCTCTTTTTTCTGAATTCAGACTCATTGCTACTAGAATTTGGTTTCCTGTGGCTTGCCAGGAATGGTGAGTCCACCTGGATGAGGGTCTGCAGGGGAAGAACAGGGATGGGGGTGGGGAGGTGGTGGTGGAGAGGGGAAGAGGTAGGCAAAACAGAGGACTGAGGAGGGGGTGATCTTGTGGGTGTCTGCCACAGGGAAAGGAAGGGCTAAGGAAGGGGCTGGGATTGGGTAAAAATGGATGAAGTGCTGTTGTTTTCAGTGATGAGCGTCCAGAGACCTGAGAGTTCTTTTCACCATTTTGTGCACAAAATTCCAGGCTGATATCTGGTACTTAACTTCTCCATCTCACAGACAGGAATACTGAGGTTGAAGAAGATCAAACATTCAGCCTCCTCCCAGTCCATCCCCGCACCCCTCAGCCCTGCAGCCAGGTGCTGCTTGAGTGCTTTGGGGAACCTGTGGGCTGTGTCTCACAGAGAAGGAATGTGGGTCGGGCTGCTCTGGAACATACTGAAGGGAGTACAGACTCGCTCGGTGCTCGGAAAAGCCTTTCTGGTGGAGCCCGCAGGGTGAGTGAGGCAGATTTTGGAAAAAAAAAAAAAAATTTCCAACCCCGCTGGGGTTACTGTCAAAAAGTGAAAAACATCCGATAAGAATCATATTTTTAGGTTAAGTGGACTGAAGAATGCTTCTTCTATATTTAAGATGTTGCTGTTTGATCTGCAATGGCAAAACCCTTTTTGTGTAGTTGGTTTTTATAAGCATGCAATTAAAAGCCTAGTGAGACCGAACATTTTACAGACAAGTAGTGGAGTAGTTCAGTTCAGCAGCCCCCGCATGTGTCCTGCTGCGGAACGTTTGTTCAAAGGTCCACTTTGAGATCTACTCTGTGTACTGGCACATCATTTCTGAAATTCTAGCTAAAATGGGAAAATGATAAAAGGATTCGTAACAGCCACAGATTTTACACTTCTTTAAAAAAATGAAATTACAAAATAAGAAAAACGCAAGCCACATGCACATTTGTTTTCCTCAATTGGCTTTTGTGCAAGTGCAGGTTGTTACCCACCGGCTAGTAGTATATTCTTAGAAAGGTATATTAAAAGTTTCAAACAAATGTCCACTTCAAACCCAGCCAGTTCACAAGTGTGTACATGTTGGGGGGTGGTTGCTTGGCTGACACCTGGGACCCTAAAGCTGCGTCCCCCTTTTATCGTCTTCATGCCAGCCACAGACTTACTCTCAGCAGCCCCTCAAATTTTGCTCACCCCTTCCATAAACACTAGATTTCTCCCCATCGCATCAACACACCGCTCCCAGGATGTCCTGTTCCCCAGCAACGGCTCTACTTTTAGCCTTGAAGCAACGGGTGCTCGACTCCCCCCACCCCCCGCCGCTGCTCCTCCTCACCCAGCGCTGCCACCTTGCTCCCCAAGTGCTTGCCCGTCTCACCAGAGTTACAGTGCCGGCAGTTTTCACAGTGGGGCCGGGAGTTGTAGTCTGGTGAGTAGGAGATCCCTGGTATACATGGATCACACTGAGCCGCCTGTCTCTGCTGGTCACAGTGCTTCTTGAGGAACGTTCCTGTGAGCAGAGGTCCAGGGTCAAGGCTCAAGGGAGGCTGCCTCTCACCCTCCGCAAAAATGGTGCCTCTGGCACTGCAGGATCCCTCCTTGCTGGAGCTAAGACTCACTTTCTGCTTCCCTTTCCCCCAAACCCAGTCCTCTCCCATTCTCCACCGGCCCCTGGCAAAGGCCTCCTCTCTTACCTGGCTCACACATCTGGCAGCACAGTCCTCCCAGAGCCCAGTAGTGGTTCTCTGGGCAGCTCTTAGAAGGGGTAGCTGAGAGCCCTGCTAGAGTTGCCAGAACCCACAGCCAGCAGGAAAGTGGCCAGGCCATGGCTTCTGCCCAGGGAGCTCTTCTGTGCTCCAGTCGCTAACTGCTGGCCTCTGTACTGGGCGCCGTTTCCTCCTCTTTGCACCCCCTGGGCAGCAGCTACAGGTCTCTGTGTTGCCGTGGCTATGCTTTAGGTGGCAAGCTAACCTTTGATAGCAGCTGAAGCTCTACTGTGGCTCTTTTTTTTTTTTTTTTCAGCAGCAACCTCTTACTCCTCCACCCTTTCCGCATGCTGGGTGCTGGGTGCTGGGGAGAGTTGTTAGAGGGCAAACTCTGTCAGAAGACCTGCTGCTCTTTGAAGTTGTCCCCTCCAACATGCGGCTTCTCTGTTTCTGTCTCTCTGGTGCTATGAAAGAACTTAACTCATCTACTCCTGCCTCTTTTATAAAGTGTTTACGCAGTCACCCACCTCTCCTATTCATGCACTTGTACACAAAGATGTCCACACCACAGCCCTGTTCACAGTGTACAAGCTAAGCGGCATGTCTCCTCTGTCCATCACCATAAAGGATAAGCTGCTTTTTTTCACAGAGACAAGCAGTTTAGAGAAGGAAGGGAAACCAGAACTCAGTATTTGAAACAGGGTCAAGTTTTCTTCTTCTTTTTTTTTACTCCTCACCAGAGAACTTTTTTTTTTTCATTGCTTTTAGAGAGAGGAAAGGGGAGAGAGAAATATCGATGCAAGAGAGAAGCATTGATCGGTTGCCTCCCGTATGCACCCAGACCAGGGATTATAATGTGCCCAAGCCGGGGATTGAACCTACAACCCAGGTAGGTGCCTGACTGGGAACTGAGCCTACAACCCTTCGGTTAATGGGACAATGCTCCAACCAATTGAACCATACCAGCCAGGGCCAGTGTCAGGTTTTAGAGTTTTTCAGATTTTTGGGAAGAAACTAGCACCACAATGTATCCTCATGGGGCTGGGGTAGCACCCAATCAAACACAACATTTCTGCAGCAAAACTAATGAACATTTAAACTAAGTGGGGTGAATAAGGACTATAAGTAGCCTTGCTTTGCAACAGCTGAGGTCCGGTTTTATGGGCAAAAGAGCTTGCTATGAAAGTGTTAGAATGGCAAACAGGGGACTTAACATGAGTCACACTCTGTGCTAGGAGATTACATAGGATCTCATTTAGTCTTCCTGCCAGCCTGTGATACAGGCATTACCCACTGCCCGTCTGTCCTTCCCTCTTCACCCCGCTGTCACCTTCATTTCCCCCTTCCCCCATCTAGCTGTGTCGGTCGCCGATGTCCTGGAGTGCTGCCATGCGTCTCCCCTGCAAGTCTTGGGCACTGGGATTAAAAGTCGATGCCTGTGGGTCATCTCTTCCCTGTTTCTATTTTATTTTTTATCCTTACCCAAGGATGTGCTTACTAATTTTAGAGAGAGAGGAAGGCAGGGAGAGAGAGAAGGAGAGAAACATCAATGTGAAAGAGTAACATCCATCGGTCGCCTCTTATATGTGCCCCAACCAGGGACCAAACCCAACCAGGGACCAAAAACCCAGGCATGTGGCCTGACCAGGGATCAAACTCGTGACCTTTTGGTCCATGGGATGATGCCCCAACCAACTGAGCCACAGTGGCCAGGACTCATTTCTTCCCTGTTTCTGTGGTTTTGGGAATATTGGAAATAGCTGGACTTTCCCCTTTTTGAGTCCTGGAACACATGGGTCAGATGGCCACCCCCTCCTCTTTCCCTGAGGATTGAGGTGTGGGGTGGCTTATTTCTCTAGGCCATTTTTCATTCAGGGGTTTTGCAGTTGTTTCCACAGGGCTCAAAAAGTCACACCCCTGTGATCTCACATGTCAGATCTGTTCTCTGTCTCACTGTTCAGTTTCCTCTCAATTTTTTCCATTCTCCCGCCTTTCTCTGACCCCTTCTAGTCTTCAGGTGGGTCCTCTCAAGTGGGGAGCCACAGCGTGAATATGATTTGAATAGTTACTTAAGCAAAACCATCCTTTTCAATGTTGGGCAGGGTGCCTGAGTTCCTACTTCAGAGTGGTTAACTTTGGGATCCGAGCATTTTGCTGTCACTAACAGTCTGCCCCATTCCCAGATCATGGTCAGTATCTCCGCTGTTAATCTTAAACATCAAGGAGGCTATGGAGAGATGGGACCCTGTGGAGCTGGATGGGACCCTAGAGGAATGATGGGAGTTAGGGACCTTTAAAGAGAAACTTGCCAAAGGGGGAATTGGAGAACACAGAGAACTAAACCTTGACTAGACCCTGAGCTGCTCAACCACGTGAGGCCTGTGTCCCCTATGCCAAGGCCCATGTCCCCTCTTCTACTCATCACTTCTCCACGGAGGAGAGGGCAGGAGCAAGTCTGCCTGGCTCTCGCTCTGGTTGGGAGGAGGAAAGCCAGGTTCCTGGACCTTACTGTTCTCCAGCCTTCTGTACTGTTTGCATTAGCTTGTGGTGAGCGTTGGCCTGTTCTAGGCTGGCTTCCTGGACAGTCTCTTCCTCTTGCCTATAGGCCCTGCAAGTGCAGCCTGTTGACCTCTCCTTTAAAATCTTCCATTATCTCTTTCTGTTTGAGGTTCAGCTTCTCCCTATACCTTTCTGGCACAGTTATGTGGTATTTTATCAACAGCTCCCCCTTTTCTTCCATCTCCAGCCCACAAAAGCCTCTCTTTTGATGACTTTCATTACTTTTGAGAGGCTCTGAGCAAACCCTGAGTCTGAAGCAGTGACCGTAGCCTGAATGTCCGCTAGGATCACCCTGCTCCTTAATGCCTAGGTAAGACACTCCTTGCTTTCCAATCAGGGCAGGGCCTGGGTGGATTGGGGGAGATGGGGCTGTTGACTCGCACAAATCCCAGTGGGTCCAGTGTTATGGTAGCTTCTGGTTCTGGTTCCTCTTTCACCTGACGTCTTGTTTTTCCTTCTCCGCTCCTGGTTGTTCCCTTAGGTTTGCCCTGCCACATCTTGGGACACAGGATTTTCTTGAATTTTCCTCTAAACCAGCTGTAAACAGAAGGCTGTTAAATATGACAAACTTTTTACTGAAGCTTTATATATCATAAGAATACGACTTAAAATTGCATTTTGCACATTGTTGTTCTTTTAAAAAAATTTTTGTTGTTGTTCAATTACAATTGTCCCCATTTTTCCTTCATTATTCTCCCCTGCCCTAACCATGCCCCCCCCCACATTCATTCCTCCCTCCCTACCCCCATTGTCTTTGTCCATGGGTACTTTATACATGTTCCTTGCCTTGACCCTTCCCACTGTTTCCCCCGTTATCCCCCTCCCCTCTGGCCACTGGCAGTTTGTTCTTTATTTCTATGTCTCTGGTTCTATTTTGCTCTCTTGTTTGTTTCGTTGATTAGGCTCTACTTATAGGTGAGATCATATGGTATTCGTCTTTCACTGCCTGGTTTATTTCACTTAGCATAATATTCTCCAGTTCCACCCATGCTGTCATGAAGGGTAGGAGTTCTTTCTTTCTGCTGCATAGTATTCCATTGTGTAAATGTACCATAATTTTTTGATCCACTCATTTACTGAAGGGCTGTTTCCAGCACTTTGTTATTGTAAATAACGCTGCTATTAACATTGGGGTGCATATGTTTTGAATTGGTGTTTCAGGATTCTTACGGTATAATCCCAGAGGTAGCATTGCTGGATCAAAACGCAGTTCCATTTTTAGTTTTTTGAGGAAATGCCATACTGTTTTCCATAATGGCTGTACCATCCTGCATTCCCACCAACAGTGTGCTAGGGCTCTCTTTTCTCCACATCTCTCGCCAGCACTTGTTTGTTGATTTGTTTATGACGGCCATTATGACCAGTGTGAAGTGGTATCTCATTTTGGTTTTAATTTGCTTCTCTCTGATGGCTAGTGATACTGAGCATCCTTTCATAGGTCTCTGGGCACTCTGTATGTCCTTGGAGAAGTGTCTGTTCAGGTCCTTTGCCCATTTTTTAATTGGATTGTTTATATTCCTGGAGTGGAGTCATGTGAGTCCTTTAAATGTTTTGGAGATCAAACCCTTGTCCGAAGTATCATTGGCAAATATATTTTCCCCAGTGGTTCCCTTTTCATTTTGCTGATGTTTTCTTTAGCTGTGCAGAAGCTTTTTAATTTGATGTAGTCCCATTTTTAAATTTCCTTTATATCCCTTGCTCCTGGGGGACATATCAGTGAAAATATTGCTGTGTGGAATATCTGAAATTTTCCTGCCTATGTTCTCCTCTAGGACTTTTATGATGTCATGACTTATATTTAAGTCTTTTATACATCTTGAGTTTATTTTTGTGTATGCTGTACGTCGGTGACTGAGTTCCATTTTTCATTTTTTTGCATGTAGCTGTCCAGATCTCCCAACACCATTTGTTGAAGATGCTATTTTTACTCCACTTTATTCTCCTGCCCCCTTTGTCAGATACAAATTGGCCATAGAGACATGGGTTTATTTCTGCGCTCTCTATTCTGTTCCATTGATCTGTGTGTCTGTTCTTATGCCAGTACCAGACTGTTTTCATTACAGTGGCCTTGTAATATAGTTTGATATCAGGCATTGTGATTCCTCCTATTTTGTCCTTCTTTCTCAAAATTGCTGCAGCTATTCAGGGCCATTTATATGGTTCCATATAAATTTTTGAAATGTTTGTTCTGTATCTGTGAAATATGTCATTGATATTTTAATAGGGGTTGCATTGAATCTATAAATTGCTTTGGGTAGTATGGACATTTTGATGGTGTTAATTCTTTCAATCCATGAACATGGTATATGCTTCCATTTATTTGTGTCTTCCTTAATTTCTTTCTTCAGTGTTCTGTAGTTTTCTGTGTGTCTGGTCTTTTACCCCCTTGGTAAGGTTTATTCCTAGGTACTTTATTGTCTTGTTGCTCTAGCAAATGGGTTTTTTCCCCCTAATTTCTGTTTCTAATATTTCATTATTGATATACAAAAATGTCTTTGATTTCTGAATATTGACTTTGTACCCTGCTGTTTTGCCAAATTCACTTATTAGGTTGAGTAGTTTTTTGGTGGAGTCTATAGGGTTTTCTATGTACACTATCACGTCATCTGCAAGCAATGACAGCCTT